AAAATTTCAGATCATTTCGATTACTAAAAAAAATGAAAAATGAAACACTACCAGACAACTGTGACCATGCGATGAAGTATGGATGGTGATGAGGGTAGGTGAAATCACTGTTCATTTTCGTCTATAGGCGTTTTGTAGTATCTTCCATATATATATATATATATTTTCAAAACGCGCCGGGATCTACAGTAAAAACATTATATATTGTTTACAATAAGTATGTGAATATTAAGCTGTTATATTTTAGTATTTCTTGTAAAATTCTATAAAAGTTTAGACAGAATAGAATTATGCAAATAAAAGGTATGATTGATATATCTATGACTAACCACTGTGTGTGGTTGAGATTACTTATTTTGATACTAAACACTATTTTGAATTGCATAACATCACATCACATTCTTATATAAAAATTTATACAGATACATTGAAAAGGAAATTATAAGAAAACTTATACAAACTGTTACAGATACAAACTGTATAACAAATACAAACTGTATAACAAACTGTAAAAACAAACTTACTGTTTACATATGCAATAACTGGAAAAGAGTTTCCAGTGTTGAGGGCAATAGGAAGGGAGAGAGCGAAGATTACAATCACACATGCTAGGAATATGGAAAAAGAGGAAAATATAGAACCTGGAAATTAAGGTGAATTATGTGACCTGGTATTCATGAGCTATGAGGTCAGGATAGCTGTTGCGGTGGATGGAGCAGGTAGAAGACAGAAGAGTATCTTCTGAGAGAGAGATGAGAGAAGTACAGAGAAGAGAGAAGAGAACTGCAGAGAAGAGAGGAGAGGACTGCAGAGAAGAGAGGAGAGGACTGCAGAGAAGAGAGGAGAGGAGAGCGTCCGAGGAAGAGCGCCTGAGTGACCTGCCTCTTCTGAGGAATGAGAGGCTCTTATATAGAGGGGGAAAAGGATTTCCTTCGTCGCGAAGGAAGGATGATAAGGCGTAAAGGGATGTGACATAAAGAAGATGCTGTCGGCGGAAGAAAACAAAATGGAAATGCAAAAAGTAAAAAGTCTTTTGTCTTTGTCGGCGCTTGTGGACAAAAAGGCATCGGTGAATAGTATGCAACTTTGTCTTTTATGTCGGTGCTACAGTAATGGTATCCTTGAATAGTAGTCGTTTGTCTTTTTGTGTCGGTGGAGAGCATCTTGGCAAAATCTTGGTTTGTCGTATATCGGTGGAGAGCATCTTGACACAGTCTTGGTTTGTCGTATACTGGTGGAGAGCATCTTGACACAGTGATATGAGTGAGTGGCAGCAATGAATCATGGTCTTTGACTGAATTCGTCTGGATCATCTTCTTCTTCAAGATCTGTTTCTTCCAGGGGAAAGTATCTATTGTTGTGAGTTGATTGTACGGTCTCATCTGATGAGACCGGCTTTCTTCCTGCTTCTGCAAAGATTTCCTTCATTTGTTGTTCCAAGGTTTCTTTGGAAGCATTAGGGTTTGTTTGTAGCATATTTCTCAAATATGTGGGGAAGTCAAAGGAAGTAGTGGCTGTATTATGTCCACTTGGACTGGGGTTATATATAGGTTTTTGTGGAGGTATGCGTTTGGGAACTATGGTTGTGGGATCCATATTGAAAATGTCCCACCATTTTACTGAGATGGTTTTTCCCAGGCGTGGGATATAAGTATGGTCGGCTGTATTATTGACAGAGATTGAGTATTCCCATTTCATAATCCATGGGAGTTGGTATAGTGCAACAAAGTATAGGTGATTGTCTGTATTATCATCACTATTATTGAATATAACGAATTGTTCCTGTACTTTTTGGAAAGCAGGAGGTAAAATTGCAGTAGTTGATCCCCAAACTAAAAACCAATTTTTAAACCAGTTGGGGAATCTTTCGAAAATGGATAAACGAAACTGAATATACCAACTATGAGTGTTGTTAGGATTTTGGTAATAAAACGTTTTATGCCATGCTTCTATGTACTCGGCATACTTGTAATATTTGTATGAAAAATCAGGATTATGTAATTTTTTGCCTTGAGCAGAATTGCAACCCCACTCATCATAAGAAAGCAATTTCTTGATCTGTATTTTTGAATATGCAATTACTCTGGTATTTTGCTGGTAGTAATGGACAACAGAGATGGATCCTGTTTCCATAAGAATGGCTTCATAATACTCACGAGTTTTGACTCCATTGGTTGGATTCAAATGGTTTATAAGGTATAGTGAAGCAAGTTTAATAGGGTCCATACTAGTATGGTGGTCATCGATTGTAATATCCATAAGATATGCTCTTTCAATATATGTAGAGCGAGGAACATTAGGCCTTTGGTTTGGTTTTGATTGAGCTGGAGTATAGGCGAGAGTGGATGTATTAGTGTCTGGATAAGTGATTTGGTGAACAGGAGAGATGGAAGGTGAAAGGGTTGTCAAAGGCGGGTTCTCACATTCAAATGGTATTATTGTCAACGGGCGTTTCTCATTGCGAGAGGAATTGCTACGAGAGTCCATGAGAGTAGGTGGAGCTTTCTATGTCAATAAAAATGTTGAAAAGGAACGAGGAGTTCTTAGATTAGTCATTAATTATAAACCTTTAAATAAAGTGTTACAATGGATTAGATATCCTATTCCCAATAAAAAGGATTTACTAGATAGAGTAGCCAATGCTTGTATATTTTCCAAATTTGACATGAAATCAGGATATTG